AAACGAGAGTCAGAGACGGCGCGGGCCTCAAACGATGGAAGTCGAACCCGGATGTTCAGTCCGAGATCGAATTCACGTTGGTTCAAAAGGCAGACGGCATGTAAGTGTGTGCGTCGATCAGTATTTATCTCTCCCGTGAATACTAATCAGATCCAGGTTTCGCTGGGTCGCTTGCCAACTAGACGCGTTAGAAAAGTGCCTCAACTACCGCTCTGTCAAGGACACGCTAGATACTTTGCCAAAGACGCTCGACGAGACATATGCGCGAGTGCTAGCGAGCTTGCCTCTCGAGAACCAAACTGACGTTACGCGGTTGCTCCAGTTCTTGACATTTTCCGAGCATTCATTAGAAGTTGACGAGGTCGTGGATGCTTTGGCGACCGACGCAACCGACGCGGTGGAGCGGGCACCTTTCGATCCAAAAAATCGTATGCCGGATCCGCGAGAGCTGAAGAAGTTGTGCCCCAGCCTGATCACATTGACTACAGAAGGAGACGTCCAGGCCAAGGTGTATATTCATCTAGCACACCTCTCGGTCCGCGAGTACCTTACGTCGGGTCGCCTTAGCGAGCCCCTATCACACGAACTGACACTCACTGTGGCCTCGACTTGCATAACAAATGTCTGTCTTCGGTACTTAATACAGATAAACGATCGATTAGTTAATGAAGTCAAGTTTGACGATACAGGCCGTGCTTCGAAAGAAACAGTCGAAGACGCTTACCCCCTCATGCACCATGCTATCCACTACTGGCCTACATACGCAGTCAAGGCCGCAGGTCATATAGATGCGACAGACTTAGCAAGTCTGATAACGAAGTTTATCTCGTGCAACATCATCTTCAACCATAGATTAGTACAGTATCATATCAGGCTTCCGACTCCCCGGTGGAGATTATCTACGCTCAGTCTTGCGTCTGCTTTCGGGCTTGGCAGCGTCGTTAATTCGGTACTGCAACAAGGCGAGAATCGGCAGGAGTTGCGTGGCGCCTTGCATCTCGCTTCGGGGAACGGGCACGAAAACATTGTGCGGATGTTGCTCGAGCATAGTACTCGGATAAATGCTCAAGATGATTGGTACTATTCCGCGTTGATGGGAGCTGCAACGGAAGGACACGAGGGTGTTGTGCGGTTGCTGCTGGATAACATCGCACAGAGCGGCAACAAGAGTACAGTCCCTGGCACCGCCCTCGTGGTAGCAGCATCAGGCGGTTTCCTGGGCATCGTACGGTTATTATTAGAGCATGGCGCCCAAGTTGATAGTTTCGACGGAATCTCCAAAACCGCGCTGCCGCTGCCGGCCGCTTCTCTGGGAGGACACGAGGACGTCGTACGACTACTGCTTCAACACGGCGCCCCGGCTGATGCTGTCGGGCTATCAGGCACTTCTCTGGAGATTGCGTCACTCTCGGGCCAAGAAGGTGTCGTACAGATACTGCTTGATCACGGCGCTCAAACCAACGGCCATCAGGGGGGGAGAGATTACGGGAACGCCCTACACGCTGCTTTCTCTTACTACGGTTTGGCCAACAGCGATTCGGGGATACGGGTCATCCGCCTGCTTTTAGGGCGAGGGGCCGATCCGAACGCCAAGGACGAAACCGGGAAAACACTGCTCCATCGAGCTCTGGACCATTATCAGATGCAAGACGAAGATTCGGGGGGGAAGAAAAGCGTGAAGCTCATACGACTACTCCTCGACAACGGGGCGAATTCGGAAATACCCGACGCAGACGGCATGACGCCTCTCCATCATGCGGCTTCGACGGGCAAGCTGGAGGAAGCCGGGATGCTCCTGGATGGAGGTGCAGACGTGTATGCGGTGGACCGCGGTGGCTGGACACCGTTGGACTTTGCGTTGGCCCGCGAGAGCTTTGCCATGGCGAAGTTGCTCTGGGAAGGATGGCGTTGCGAGAGCTGCGATGACAAAAGGGCACCCTTGTTCCTGCAAGGCATGGCTTCGGAGAGTGATCTAGGTAGATGGATGCACAGATTGACAGACGTCCCTGATACGACGGACCTAGGTAAAATAGCTATTTTACCGAATAGCCCACTATCAGATTTGTTCAAGGTTGTGGCTCCTGAGGTTACGGACAATGCAGCACAAGATGAACAGAAAGCTTTTAATGCGATTGTTGAGGACCACGATGAGAGCGACAGCCCAGCTGACGATATTATTGGGGATAAAGGGGAGGTGAAGATTCAAGTAGGACGTGAGGAAACACTTAGGGACGCAGGCTCGATCCTGAAATCCGGTAAACGGCATAGCTTCCGGGCTCTGTTCTCAAGCATGCGCAAGAAAGTCAGCAGATGAGATCATGCGTCTACTGGGTTGGAATAAAATATGATGACAAAAGTGACTGGGCCGGGTTGGTGATTGTGGATAATTAGAAGATAGTGGGTATCCATCAGCGGTTTCTCTATTGCCAAAAATTGCATTCGATCTTCAAGTTCAAATCATCCACGGTCATACTTATTCAGGCATGTTCACCGTGTAAATTAATCGAACTATGGGTAGTCGTCTTTTCAGATTCAGTGGTAGGATATAAAAACCAGCTTCGCTCTAATTATCTAGACGCAATAAATCATCATCAAATTCATATCTCGTTAAGATCTGCATTGTCGCGAGGCTGTGATATCCTAATTTTAGCTCTTTCTTTCTAAACATCGTAGGGATTCCGAAAGCTCAAGACCTGGCAATGGCCGTGAAGAGGGGTGCGTAGAACCTTCCCAACAATATTTTCATTAGCAGAACTGTCTATTTCCATGACGGCTTCTTAGCGTCACCTCGCCCTTTATCTTTGACTAATGCCCCTTTACACTTGTAATACTATTCGATGCAAGCTCTGCTATAGGTTGTGGAGACCCAGCTACTTCCTGTAGCACCGCAGGCGTATATATCTCCTGCGGTATAGTTGACATCCGCGGCTGATAATGGACTCCATGGTTATCAGGCAGGATCGCCGGTTCCTTTTTACGACGACGCAATATCAGGAATACCGACATAGTTGCGGCAAGCAGTGCAATGAAGCTGCCGATGGCAATCCCGGCGATAGTTCCGCCGTTCAAGGCCGTTTCGGTCCTGTTCGGTTGCGATATCGGCGTTGTGTTCTGGGTTGTAGTTGAAGAGGAAGATGGCACAGGCATTGCTGTCTGTAACATATTGGTTAACATACGCATTCACAGATCGGCACCGTGCAAGAATAATTGGTAACCAGCATCTGCTCATTGGCACTTACAGTGGAGGCTGGAGAGGAAACAAAATCTGTCGATTGGCGTCTGGCTTGAATGGAAAACGCATTTACCCCGTCAGAGTTAAACAAGGTTACCGTGGCCTGCACGGTTGTACCATCTGCTACCTGACTGGCAACTGTTTTCGTGCTTGAATCAGAGATATGGGAAGTACACCCAAACGTAGTTTCCCAAAAGTGATTCGCTGCTGTTTGGCATGAGAAGTCATGCTGTCTAGGGGGGTTGTAAGAGAATGGAATTAGTTAAGACTTCATAATATACTACTAACGTTGGACAGCAGGTCACCACCGTCTCCGTAATAGTGCCAATGTTTCTTATGGATTGACAAGCGGCTGTGAAGTCGACAGGACATCTCGCCGGCGAATAGTACTGTTGTTGCGTATTGGGATAGTAACCGCCGGGATAGCAAGACGTTTGATCGAAAGGGCCTTGAAGAAGGACATAGTTGTTGTCTTTTGTTGATAGCTCATATAAAGCATTGAGCTCATCTTTGCAATCCGGGGATAGGGAGAAATCGGTTGGTAGTGGACCCAGATAAAGATCCATGGTGCCCAGCTTGTCGGGAGTCAAAAGTCGAGGGTGAGGATGGAAGAGGGGAGGGAGAAAACGAGACGCCAGAAGAATGATGTGCCAACACAATATCAGGTGCCAAGGTACCATGAGCCTCACTTTGACCCAGGGGCTCCCTTGCAGAGGGCTATTTAGGGGTGTGAGATCTGTGTATATAAAGACTGGGCGGCTCCTAGTATATGGGGGAGCCCAGGAATCAATAGAATTGACACCACCTTACCTCTACTATTCTACTTAGCTACATGGCTACTGCTATATTCCTTTACTCTGGTGCAAAAGTACTTGACACACAACAAGGGACCTAGTATGTGAGGGTTTTGAACGATGTAACGTCCCCTAGGACTTTTGTTATGCCCATGCCGGAAGTCTACGTAAGCATTTATATCAGCTTCAAGTGGGCTTCAGCCTGGGCAGTGTTACATATGTCACGGATAGAAACAAGACGGAACTAGTGGGGCTGAGTACTACAGCCCGGAATGATATTTATAAGGATCTTTCGTGTTTATACCAGCGAGAGACGTTGCAATGCTTGTATCCGATATTTCTAAAGGTAAAACAATACACGGCCTTGGGACACAGAGGTCGCGATGCTCGTACGTTTGCCAGGTTAAATCATAGGTTTGCATCCATGCGGTATGAACGAAGAGCGTTGCATTTACCTGCCCAAGCAGAGACTGAAAGTACAAAAGGCGTGACCATCTCAGATCCTACAGGATGCGTTTTGGTTGCCCTTTATTACTATAATTACATTGTGGCACTCGGGCGATTTTGGGGGCTGTATGTCGACCACCAATCACCACCACCAAGTGCCTACACCCATGAGAAGACCACCCCTGTACTTCGGGCCCGTGACTAGGGTGAGTCCAAGATTTCCTTGTGTCTGCATTATCTGTGCTGCCATTCATAAGGCAACTTCCGACGAACAGGTGAAGTCGGTTGTTCGTGTAGAGCGTCTCACCGGTCATAGGTATCAGCGGCACATCACATTGCAACCCTTTGAGCTGTACGTATAGTAGTCTCTTCGTTTCGTAGACTCTCTTGTCGGCCTTCATTTACTGTGTTGTTTGCCAGTAGCTTCTGTGTGCTACTATTGACAGGCAACAGAAACCAGGGTGCAGCCGTCCTTCAGCTCGCCGTTTAATATAAGTTTGGTTGACTGATCGGTTTTCAACAAATCACCCAGAGTGGTGCAATGGTAGCATACCTAATTGACACATGGGGAACCATGCCCGTAAGGGGTCAGGGGATTCGGGTTCGATTCCCGGCTTTGGGAAAAAGATTGTTTTTTTTTTAATTCTAGAGTTTATTATGCTGGTTTAACCCTTATCAAGACGTCTGGCACTAAACGCTTGCCCTTTCCTTATATATACAGTTATAAGTACATAACGTCATCCACAAGCCGATGCTGCACCCAAGCCGATGCTGCACCCAAGCCGATGCTACACTTTTTACTATTTCTTTACCTTCCATATTTAATTATAAATATCTTACTAACTATATTATACCACTTAAACTAAGTAAAACTAATCTATAACTAGCGATTTAGGCTAAAAAACAGAACCCTAAACTTTTTTTTTAAAAAATTGCAAAAATTTATAACATTTATACTATTATAATTATGAAACGCCTCGCTGGTTTTTAACTAGTTTATTTATCGAACCGAAAATCGCGAAAGTTTATAATATTTAAAAAGGATATAATTATTAAACGCGTAATTAAGCTAGATTTGCGAATATTTTTTTCCTGGTTTTAATATATTAAAAAAATAGCTAATATCCTTTGATATATACGCAATACAAAGCCCGTTAGATATAACTAGGCTTCGAATTTTATATAATAATAACCTGACCTTTAAACATATCTAAATCGTTAAATCGATTATTAGCGAGCTTTTAATAAAAATCCTGTAAGTTATTACGTATAGTTTACACTTATAACTAATATAATTACGAAATATAGTATCTAGGTAAAAGATATATTTAACTTTAATAAATCGGGGTTTTTTATAAATATAATTATAACCGGAATAGTTATAACAAGCTTAAAAAAACGTGGGAAACCTAGGCAGGCCTAGTAAGGAGGCAGAGAATGGGTTATAGTAGTTTAAGCTATTAATTCTTAAGGTTGGGCGGTACTGCTGTATATTATCTTTATAGGCGCGTATCACCTTGCGTCTTAGTATCGCAATACTATTTTACTACCTAACTGGGTTATCGATCTTTTAAGTAACGGTTGGACTATAAACAAGATAAGTATAAAATAGCTATAGTATTTTAATTTATATACTCGGAGCCGTATAAAGGGTATAAAACGCCTCTTGATCCTTAATAGTTACAAAAGCTACTATTTAATAGATTTTAAGGATTATTATAAGAATAACGGCATAGTTACCCTTTATATGCCTGCCTATTTGTCATACAGACTCCAGCCTTTAATCTAGTACTTTTTAGTATATTAAAACGCTTTTACTTATTATATATCAAAGATTTAATATAGCGGTACTAAACCTATATTATAAAAAAGGATTTTTTAGCCGGGTTTTTAAAAGCGTTTATAAGTACTTTTATAAAAAAAAACATTTGATCGGGATTTAAGGCTACTAGAATTATCCCTTTAGATATAAAAAAGGTAATTTTTTTGTTAAAAAAAAAAAAAATAAAAAAACTCCTTTTATTAAACCCAAACTACCCCCCCCTAGCTTGGACTTCCAGGATACCTACCACCTTTTTTAAAGCCTTAGAACAGTTAACTCTTATTAAAAATAGTATCTAAAAGTATTAAAAAAGCTTACTAATATTAATTTTAAAATTAATTAATTTAATTATAAAAACTATATATATTATAATATATAAAAACGCCTTTTTATATTAAAAAAACAAAGAACTTCGCAAAACTAATTATATATTTAATAAACATTATAAGTAAAAAAACAAGCGACTAGTATATAAAGGACTTCTTACTATAAAGGATTCTTAAGTTCTGCGGGAATTAAAAAGCGATAATAACGTTAAATCGGTAATAGAAGGTGAAAATAGTCGTTTAGCAAAGAGGGCGCGGACGGGTCAAAAGCGGTGTAGCATCTGCGGCGGCAAGGGACATAATGCGCGAACATGTCAAGTAGAAGTAGAAACCTCTGAAGAAGACGATTCCAATTGATTTGAACTGTTTTAATTGCGTTGTTGTTGTGTTTTTGGTAATGGCGTGAAATGGGTGTTGAAAAGTGCAGCATCGGCTTGGGTGCAGCATCGGCTTGTGGATGACGTTATTAGAATTAATTATAATAATAAACTCCTCCTCCTCCTTCTAGGTCACAGGACCTGATTTTGAGGGCCCTGCACTATTTACCCCCCTGAAGCCGAGCCTTTGCGCACACATGCGCAACCATTTTCTTTCATTTGACCACAACACCAGCATCCACTCGCCTCAAGCCTGATCATCCACACCCAACCGAATATTCATATATATGGGATGCGACCGCGCCTCCGACTCGACCATCTCCCCAATATGTGCAATACCGACTTTTCCATATGCCACCACCACCACCCAAGCGCCGGCCGCCGAGCGACACCACCACCGCCGAGACTTCGCCCAAAAGATTAAAACTCGCCCATCTCACCCGACTACCGCCAGCCTTCTGGGACAACCTATCCAAGATCCCCCCGACCAGCAGCGCCATGCAAGAGCTCAAGAGAGGAGACGACGCCGCCGCCTCTGCTGCTGCTGCTGCCTCCTCACACACATCTGCCGTCCGCCCTGGGCCGCCTCGTCGACCCATCACACGCCGTCCTGCTAGCGAGTCATACAGAGTTAGGTACGCAGTTCATTCTCCCCTTTCCGCAAGTTTGGTCGACGTGTTTTTTTTGTCGTTGAAAGCGGTGATTATCAGTCACATGAGTCAGATGAGCGAGAAGGAATGCTTGAACTTCGAGAGCAAGTCGTAACCGGATCTCCGAAGAGCAACACAAGACAGCCCCGTGCCGTAGGATGTGCGAGATGTACTTGCCCAAAGTGAGCTTGATGCCGTTGAAGGTAGTTTCGTCGCAATTCTCAGAGCTACTCTGAGCCACGGCCGACATTTCAAGCTCGGGCAAGTTCGCTCTCATTTCAGGGCAGTGTTGAGAGCAGAGATCCATGATCACATTTCGGATTTGGCGAAGGTCTCCAGTCGATTGCGGATTCCATGTACTCATCAACTTGGTAATTGAGCATAGAGAGTATCATCATATCTTCAAAAACTGCGAGGCCCGCAGGAGCGCCGCGCCGCGCGTTGCAAGCATTCCATGTAAGCGGTATGAATATCAAATACTTGTCCTCGCTCATCGAGTATCGTTGGAAAATGGTGTGATCCTGTCTTTTCAATTCGTAAAAGTGGTGGCATATGCGGCCTCCTGCCTGCGGGGGGCTCTCAGTATATCAGGAACGTATGTCTAATTAACCGAATTCTATATGCTCTGGTCTCTAGTGGCACACAACTAATTCACAGCTTCATTCGAGCCCGGAGCTTACATGAACCAGTCTCAACGTCCAACATGGCGGACAGTACGCCGCGTGAGGCATGGAGAACCATGCTGAACCCTCACTGCTCTAACTGTCATTGATGTGCCGACTGCACTTAGCCGCTTCGAACGCAATCTGCTCGACGGATGAGTTTCCCAGCAGTAGAAATAACTCTACATCGGCGCCGAGTTCTCGAGAAAACCAGTTCCTCAGATCAACAGCGACGAGCGAGTCAATACCATAGGTATGTGGCGGTCTTTCTGGGTTGATGTCTTCGAATGGAAGCCCCAAAATCTCCCCCATCTTGGTCCGAAGCCAGCCGAGAATCAGAGGACCGGCATCGTCGATAGACGCAGCCTTTGTCAGTATCTTACCATGATTGATGGACGGATTCGTCTCCAATGAGTTCCTTGTCTCATGGGAATTCGGGCCAGAGACGCGGAACAACTCTCGAAACATTGGGCGCCTGATCGAGTGGTGAAGGTCAATGCCTTTGGCAAGCACTGCTGAAGGCATCTCTATCCCTACTAGAATCTGAGCCTGATTACCGCTCAGTACTGGAAGATTCGGGTTGAAGTAATAATCTAGAAGAGCCAGAAGCTCCTCTGTCCGGATGTCCATTAGGTGTCCAATGCGACGCATCAATGTCAGAAGTTGCTCATTCTCAGCAACAACTCCTTGTTCGAACATTAGACCGAGGTCAATGGAAACGGCCCTTTGTGATCGGGAAAGGCGGTAATGTGCGAGTACTCGTTACCCAGTATTCTAACAGTGCCCGAAAGCATTGTTGTGTTTGCAACCCAGTTTCTACATAAATAGGTTGACCAAAGCCAGTCGGGACTTTCGAACCGCTCTTCTTTCACCGTGTTCCCGCTCCTCTTATCATTGCTCCCCAAAAACGGCCGCTTTTGCTCGTCCGTCAAATCCTACTGTCGGTTGCCCCGACAATCCTGAAGTATTGATCATGTCTACAACACCTTACTATGTTATGACTCGCGACTACATCGACAATAATCGGTAAGCCTTGAGCCAGACATAAGACACAGGGACCTACGTCACCGTAACACCAGGCTCACCAGTCTACCTATAGAATCAACTTACAGCACTATCTCACTTGTGGAATATTCGGTTACCTCACACACCCGAACATTCCACTCAAAGACTTCCCTGCGGACGCGCGTATTGCGGATATTGGGACAGGTACCGGGTAAGGCATCAAGATCATTTGTCCGTCGTGTGCAGTTGGTGCAAAACATCACAAGACGTCGATTTATTCATTAGTTCTTATACTCCATTAGAATCTGGCTCAGCGACTTGGCCACTCGAGTGCCCGCGACAACCCAACTTGACGGGCTGGACGTGTCATTCGATGCGGCGCCCCCCACCTCGCTGATCGCTCCAAATGTAACTTTTCGCCGATGGGATATTAAATCACCTGTTCCAGAGGAGATGGCAGGGAAATACGACCTAGTACATGTCCGCCATTTCTCCTTTGTTTTGCAGGATGGCGAAATGGACGGCGTCTACGCGAACCTCTTGAAGCTTCTCAGTAGGTCGTGCCCGAGACCATTGTGCGCATTGTCAGTGTAGAAGCCAAACTGACTAGTATATGTTTCCGTCTCAGAGCCCGGCGGTTACCTTCAATGGACGGAGCCGGATGTGGCGACTTTCAGGGTCGAGAAGCCGGTGACAGCTTCATCCGATGACGACGGTGGCAGTGTCATGATCCAGCTTGTTGCTGCAAGTCAGACTCAAGACAATCGACTTAAACCAACG